CCCTGCGGGAGTGACCACTGGCTGCCCTGTACCCCCTGCTGGAGTGACCACAGGCTGCCCCCTTAGCCCCTGCCAAAGCAATCACCATTTGCCACATGTTCCCTTCAAGAGCAGCCAGAGCATCCACCCCCTGCCTATATACCCCTCCGCCAGAGCTGTGCTTTGTGAGCTCTTACCTCCGCCTGTCTGTAGCCATCTGTCCATGTGTCTCTGTTTTGTCCATATACAGTGATAGTGTGATGTATACAGTCGACTCCCCCCCCCACCCCGGTCTGGACAGCCAGGCTGGACAGTTGCTGGGCAACTGAACCCACATTGTCTGACAAGTGGAGAGGAGGGCCCTGCACACGAGTCTCTCTGTTCTCATTGGCACAGCCTGAAGGAAATGAACAGACGTCTTTTATATAACAAGTTCCCACAGAGTTTTCAACCTCTAGTATGAAAATGCAATACATAAAATATCAACAACAAAAAGACACCATTACACAATTTCTCCAACTCTCCCCACCCGGTTGTCTCACTACCAGCACAGTTTATGAACCCCTGGCAGAGAGGATAACAGCCTTCAATTGCTGCTCGTGCATAGAGTCTCTCACATGTTGAAGGTCTGTTTTTTGGTGAAGAAAATCTTGGCTACAAATCCTGCTGTCAAAACCTACAGCAGCTTTCACCCCAACCGTCTTGGCTCTGCCTCGTTCTGTTCCCATGGGTGCTCCTAGCATCCTACCCAGTTACCCCTTGTCCCCTTCCTGTAAGACTGGTGCTTTTGGAGCCAGCAGGGAGGTGGGACGTTGTCTCCTGCTGTCTTCCCACCCTTTCCCATCACTGGGGAGAGGCAGTAACTCAGAGCTGAAAGGCACCTGGCCTTGGCCCTCGTCTCTAATGACGTGGTGGGAAGCTGAGCGCATACGTAGGCGTTGGGTGGGGAGACCTGAGCTAAATAGGAACCCCTGGAAGATAGCTCCAGGAAGGTAAAATGTTCCCTCAGATGGAAAATCAGGTGGCAAAACCATGATGACCCTACCTGGAGAAACAGGGACCTGTTTCTACGTGAATTAGCGTCTGTAAAACCCCTTTGGAAACTCAGCAATACAAATCCTATTGTAGGTTCTTTACGGAGAAGTCCTGAGTAGTGAAATCTCCAACTGCATCAGGTGGAATCAATGTCCCTGCTGGAATTTCTGTCACTTGATGCAGGGTAGACTCGGAGCTGTCCCAGATGCTGCTCCAAAGGTCTTGGCTGTCAATGGAGCAATTCTTCATGGAGCTGTCAAATGAAGCCCTTCTTGCATTGCTATGTCTCCAGTGCTGTGTTTTCCCCTATGCAGACAGCAGCTCTGTGTTTCTCAGCCTAAGAGACAGTTATTTCAGATAAAAGACAGTAATTGACCAAAAAAGAACAAATATAAAGTCTCGAAGGGTGAGCGTGCACAGTGCCTTGCTCTGTAACATGCTACATCGGCATTGAGACATGAAATTGGCAATGGCCTTACAGCGGCAGGTTGGGTGACTCCTCTGCACTTCAAAGTGCACGGACGGGAGATCAGCAGCTTCTCGCAGTAACATAACATCATAGTCGGTGGGGCTGGAGGTGGATGAATCTGAGGCTATATCTACACTACAGGCTTCTTGCGCAAGAGCACATCCACACTACAAAAGCTTTTGCACAAGAGAGTGTGCAGACTGAAAGGACACTCTGATTGCTATAGACAGAATGGCCACCAGAGCACCTGTGCTTTGTTCGATTGCCTCTTTTTGCGCAAAAAACCCCTCTTGCCCTTCCACACGCACCTTTTGCGCAAAAACTCTGTACTGTAGACCTAGCCTAAGTGGCCTCTTTGTGGCTGGCCCAGACTCCTGGGCTGCGTCTATACTACAAGGTTTTTGCGCAAAAACCTGCGGAGTGTCCACACCTCACATGAGCTCTTGCACAATTAAATGGGCAGTTAAATGGCAGAACAGAGAGCTTTTTCCACTGTAGGTAAACGTCCTTTTCTGAGGCACAACTGCTTTTAGTGCTATAGCTATTGTGCAAGAAGGCAAGTGTGGCCGCTTCAGAGGGAAAAAGCACAGATGCTCTGATGGCCATTTTGTACATGGCCATCAGAGCTTTCTTGAGCAAGAGCGTCCATGCAGTGGCCGCATATGGCTTTTGTGATGTGCTTTGAGGTGTGGATGCGCTCTTGAGCAAGATGTTTTTGTGCAAAAACTCTTGTGCAAAAGGCTTCTTGAGCAAGAAGCCTGCAATGTAGACGTATCCTGGTGTAAGGATCTGGTCCTTGCTGCTCTGTGTTTTCCCCAGCGTTTAACAAGCACTTGACTTTGACAGAAAATATGGCACCAGCCCCTGGTTCAGACTGTGTCTGCTCCAACCTCTATAGGCAGCCAGCTCGCTCTGGGCCTGCTCAAACGCCTGACGGATTTGCCACCCTTGTAACCTGAGCCCTCTCCTTCCCAGGGGTCCTGTTCAGCATTGAGGTGATGTCATCCCACTTTGCTGTCAGGGACTATTGGAGGGGCTTCTTCTCTGCCACCTGCGGAGCCTTCATGTTCCGCCTGCTCTCCGTCTTCAGCAGCGAACAAGGTAGAGAGCGGGGCTGGTGGAGGAGTGGCGGGATGGCCCACCAGGAGAAGGTCACACCCCCCATGGGCATGTGTAGCGGCCTCATCACGGCGTTGCCCTGGTGACTGGCCCTACCGCCTTGTGCTGGCAGCTCCTAGAGCTCCCCAGATGAGCAAAGTCAGGCTAGGCCAGAGCTTGGCCGGGAGACCTGGGCTGGGAGGTTGTCAGGGGCTACAGTTGCTTAGAGGCTAGGAGCCTCTAGGCCAGGGCAGCCCGCCCCCAATTGCAGGAAGCTCTGCAAACTCCTCCCCCCCCCATACTGGTCGCTCCTCAACCCAGCGCGAGGGATTCCAATGGGGAGGGATCCCAACCTCTCTGCATCCAGACCCATCGTACCCAGACCCTTCCACTGAGCCCCCCCAGCCCCTGCTCAGTGACCATCCGGATGAGTTACCCCCCCCCGGCTCCCCACTCCATGAACCCCGCTCATCAAGCATGTGTGTTTTTCTTATAAGAAACGCGCCTGTGTGTGTGTGTGCTCGAGAGAGAGTGTGTTTGTATGAGTGTGATAGTGTGTGTGAGTGTGTGTGAGTGTGTGTGCGAGTGTGTGTGAGTGTATGTGTGAGTGTGTGTGCGAGTGTGTGTGAGTGTGTGTGTGAGTGTGTGTGCACGTGAGTGTATGTGTGAGTGTGTGTGCGAGTGTTTGTATGAATGTGATAGTGTGTGTGTGTGTGTGTGTGTGTGTGTGAATGCATATGCTGTTTTTCATGTTGTATTTTCAATAACCGCGGTGGCTACGTCTAGGTGTGTTGCTTTTTCCCCTGACAAGGATTCTGTGTACTTCCTATAAGCATAACATCTGGACCATCCCCATTTGAGCCCCCCACCCCCGGGTCCTCCTGCCACGCTCTGTCCCTGCACCCCACCCACACTCCTTGCTGAGCCCCACCCCCAACCCTGGGCCTTGGGGAGAAATGGCCAGACCAGGCTTTGGGGTGGAGGGGCCAGGCAGGGGTGGGCGCTTGGGGAGGAGGGGCTGGGCAGGGGTGGGCGCTTGGGGGGAAGGGGCCAGGCAGG